AGTTAAAACAATGTCAAGTTTATTATTTTTTACTAGAAATCATGACATGCTGACAGTAAAAGTGAAAAATGAAAGAAATTAACATTAATTATTGTATGGTTAACAATTAGTCTAAATAAATTTGAATATAACTCTTTATGCTATGAACTAAAACAGGATGATGTTACCATCATGAACTTAGAGTAAATATATAACTGGCATGAACCAGTGAATGGTAATCATAGTTTGAAATTCTTTAGCAATGAGCACTAATAAAATCCAATAATCGAGTACTTAGGTCTTTTAACAAATATGATTAAAAATATGATCTTTCACATTTTGAATTTCGACCAATTTTTGATATTATTTCACATTAAGTTGGTATCTCATTTACAATCTTCATGATTTCTTTTTAAGCTACTGATTACTTTTACAACAGAATAAGTGTTGTGCAATTCTGGATAACCACAAATGGTGCAGAAATAATTTGTAACGTCGTGATTAGAAGTAGTCGATAGGAAAGCCTGGACCTAGGTTTCGTGCTATTTTGCATTCGTCAGTAAGGTTAACCTGTGGTCTTGAGGAAACTGATGCTCTTTGGCAGGCTCGATCACATGTCATCATCGAGCTATCGAGGCCGTGGCTGACTTCCTGAAGAACTGAGTTATATTTATAATTTATTGATCACTCACTGATTACTAAGAAGGACCTGACACACATAATATTGGTCATTACCCAGTGATCAATCAGTCGTAAAAATAACTGTAGTTCTTTCTGTTTTCCAATGACTTGTCTATCTGATATCAATATATGATATAAAAAGTATTTTTTAAATAATATTCTGTTAACCTATTTACGTTTCCCTTTTTGAAAATATAGCTATCGGCATACGGTTGTAGAGATTGCTGAATTTTGTCGAAATCATAAACCAATCTAAGTTAATCATTGAAGACCTGAAAGCACCGGATTGCCGTTTCGTCCTAGTATGGGACTTCTCGGCAGTGCGCATCTAAGACCCTGCAACCGGTAATCAAACCCAGATACTTTTTGATTATGACCATCTAATGTTAATAATTTATTTTACTTGTTGATTACTTTCTGATATATATAACTGTTTTGATTCACTAATGGTGTCTGACGTTAGGTGATCAAGTTTTCGGTCGTCTTAAGTTCATTCAATTTGAGTTGATGGATTTGTTTCATTAACAAATTATCAATCACTTATCAGTATTTTATAAATTCATTACATAATATGAAATTATTATTTTACAATTCATACAGGTACAAGAGAATTTAAACAATTACCCTAGTTAAATTAGTAATGGTAAAGAATATCATTAAATTGTCTATATGAATAAATACAGTTATGTATAAAATAAAAAGATTTCAAATTTGTGCAAATTCCTGTTTACTTCTTAATGACATTCGTTTTTTGTGAAATTAAAAGAAGGTAAACTTAACAGACGGATAGATTTGTACACATAAACAAATGTGACAAACGAAAAATATATTTTAATAGTTGAATTCATGAGTCGATATAAGTTAGACCACCATAGGTAACCTGGAAATACTATACGACCATTTCGTTCTAGTATGAGACTCATTAACAGTGCACTTCCATGACCCCGTACGCAGGATTCGAACTAAAGTCATTCTATTTCGCGCGCGAACACTTAACTTCTAAACCACTGAGTCAACATTCAGCAGTGTTGATTTCTAACTTCCATCGATTCATAAATGGTTGCGCAACCATTTAGTGCTTCCACGTTTTCAATGGTGGTCTAGCTTATATTGACTCATGAATCTAATCATTAAAATTACTACAATCATCACAATCTCCATTCCAATCATTAAAAAATATATATTTCACAAGCTCTAATTCACGTATTATATAACATATTGTTCTGTGTGCTACTCAATTCGTATTAGATCAACTATTCAAATGTTTAATGTATAAAATGTATGTTAATTATGTTATAAACATTAAACAATGACTCATAGTTATTCAAGGTCACATAATTTTTATCACATGAGTGTTATGTTTTGATAAGTGTATCAAATGGAATTGAGTTTAATCATAATATTACCAAAACATGCGTAACTTTTTTTTAAAGGATTAGATACATAAAATCTTAACAATTGAATAACATGCGTGTGTGTGTTTAAAACGCTTAATTGATAAAACTGAACCGAAATTATCACGAGTGTATATTGGATGCATACTGATGGCGAAATTTGTGTGTATGTGTGTGGGGGGGGGGGTAAAAAAAGCCTAATATAATTCATTTCATTTTTAGATATTTCCAGAAGATGAATTCAGTAGGCATACAATTAGAAATTGAAGGAATAAGGATATGGTATAATATATTTTTGAAATGATTCAATGGCCATCGTATTTAAGATCTTTAAATGGGAATTTTCTAATTTTATCTTTACAAGTGTTTGCTAAGATTAATTATGTGATAAATATATTGAGTAAAGATTGCAAAAACAAAGGTTTGATAAAGACAGTGAACAGCTCAATATTGACCCATTTAGTACAAACCGATCATAGTACCAGTATAAACCAATCTTTTTCAATTATTTATAAGGTCAGTAATTTTTTGCCAAAACTGGTTAGACTTAAAGTTCTTCAAACGGCTGAAGCAGTAGTCAACCGGATGAAGAAACCGGAGCTATGCATACAGAAGAAATATATTCAACCAGTCCTCCTCCCCTGGCCAACATCAAGGCCAATCAATCAATCGTAATCTTAACTACTGAATGACCCAATTTTACTACGACCTTTTGCAGACAATTGTAATTGTCTCTGTTATCTTTATTCATAAATCTTTGTATTATTATTATTCGTATTATTGGTTAACCATCAATAATCTCCCCTATACATGATTCATTCACTTCGCATTCATCCCTCCGTATTACGTCTTACTTATTTGATCGAATTGTAATTGCACTATTACTTCTCTCTCACCCTATTTGCCCCATATTTATTCTGATCATGGATCTTAAAATTTCACTTAACATAAACGCAGATTCAAGTTAACATTCTATGAGTCATATTAACATCAACAGTTTTATCAGAATGGGTTTTGTGGAGATTTTTTTTAGAAATTTCACTGGTTGAAATCATGAGTCAATTGAAGCTAGACCACCATGGAAAACCTAGAAGCAATGAACGACCGTTTCGAATCCCGCGGGGTGCAGGATTATGGATGCGCACTGCTGAGGAGTCCCATACCAGGACGAAAAGGGCCCTCCAGTGTTTCCAGGTTTTCCATAGTGTTCTAGCTTCAAATGACTCATGATTTCAACCAGTGAAACTAACAATTTTATTGTATTTTGTTTATCATAGTCCTAAGTTCACATGTATTAAACTATGTACGTTGCCCTTAACCTGGCCATTTTTCGGATTATTAATTTGGATATATAATTGTAGAGCCTGAAGAGAATTTATCGAAAAGAATATTCTTCGTTCAAATACTAGTTTTTTTTAATATGACGGGGATCTTTAAACGATAAAAAAGATGTTTATCACTTAATTTTAGAGTATAAAACTAGAAAAATTACAAATAAACACTTATGAACAGATTCAATAAATCAATCTCTTTCTTACAGTTTGATTATTCGAATGATAATTATTCCTGAAAATGATCTTTATGTTAATCAACTTCGTTTAAACCTGCAATGTATGGGTCCTATGTCTAGCCCACATAGGTTATTCTAGCTCCTGGACAAACCAATTTATCCATTCTTCTCAAGTTATATTTTGATCTTGTTAATTATTCGCTTATCAACCTTGACTGTTTTTATGTAAGCGTATGTGTGTGCATTTCTTATCTTAATCATCATAGCTTATTTCTGTCCTACTATATATATATATTCACTCTGGGTTAAATTGAGTCGGTTCACTCGACTTTTCTATTACGCAACATTTTGCTTCACTCTCTTCACTTAGTTCCATTATTCACTCACGTCATTCAAGTCGACGATTATATACGAGGATTGGCAACATATATATATTTCAACAGGAATCATTCAATAACAATCATTGATACAATCTAATTAGATTCAGATTCATGGCCACAAAAAACTACCAAGTAATCAAATGTATTGATACCTAATGAGTTTGAAAATATTATCATAACGATATTAATAAATAAAGAAATATGGTTTTAAAACAGTTAAACTAATCTATTGTGTCATTGAGAATTTAGTGTCATTTTGATATTTGAAACCTTGGATCATCTTTATTATCCAGTCTTTTTTACGTTCTTTCATAGACTTATATATTTATTTGAACAACTGTAAGTACGAACCTACAGCTTGAGTCAATGATTTCGTCGAGAATAAAATTTTCTTCGCTGAATTCTCTTTGTTTTAAATTTTTATTGATTATAATATCATTATGACCATTTACTTGAAGATGTATGCCCCAAAATTCTTTTTCGAATCTAATGTAACTGAACAAGACACTGACGTAGTCAACTGTTATGTGATTTATGGAGATTTTATTAACATAAAGGCTGATTATCATATCTTTATTATGGAGTCAATCATAAGCAAAGTATGTGTATCACTTTAAGACATATCAGAGTAGTAGAAGTAACAACAGTATTAACGTTAGTAGAAAAGACTAAACATAAACTATCTGGTTCAAGAAGAAAAAACTCAGGATAATAATCAGTTAGTAATTTGGAATCAAGCGGTTTTGAGTGATTCCAAACAAGGACTAAATACCTATCCGTTAGTTTATAATTTCTAACGTTCAACCAGTTGATGCAACTTCAAATCGGAATCGAACCTCGAAATTTTAGGTCAATATAGTAAATACATTATCATTGAGACAAATGATTTAAAATTCAATTATTCACATTTCAACTTCAGACCCATAGGTACTGGATGTGATCCAATGTACGATAGTGAATAAAGACTACCTATTCATTGCTCACTAATTTGCAGTTTTCCTTTACACAACCATTCTTTATAATATTAATAATAATAACAATAAGGTTACTTCTTACCAGGATATACTCTATTGATATATTGTTCATTTGCATTATGTTCCATTTTTGAATAAAACAATGATGTTGTATGCTCATAACTTAATTGATTCTCATGACGATGGTGACGATGATGATTCATTGTTAAATCAATTGGTTGATTATTATTATTATTATTATTATTATTATTATTATTATTAGACTGATTGACATATTCAGGATTCTTTTGTATTGATAATTCATTAAAAATGTTTTTCTCTTTAATTGTTCTCTGAATATCTATAAAGTAGTGGAAGAAAAAAAAAGAAGGAAGAAGGAATGTGCAAAGATTGATACTATATACAAAGAACAATAATAAGTCTATAAAATGATTTTCATACCAGCTATAAAGCTAAATGATAAGTGTTGGTTGAATAACTATGTGAATTCCACTAACGATGATGATGTAATTAGAGAAATTAATTTACACTTATTGAAAGTTAAAACGAATGTTTGCTGATCTGTGACATTCTTGTCTTTGTCTTAATTATGGAATGTAAAGTTCACAAAGTTGAAGTACAAGCAATAAATACTGACTTCTTTAAGCTGAAGATTTATGACGGCATTTTCCTCCTAAATATTTTTCATATATATTGAAGAAACCTCTTAAGTACCTGTAACAATAAAGAACTTTCATTTTTAAAACATTAAGGATTCCGTTTACTAGAAAACTTTCATTTTTAGCATAAACAAAATAATAATTCAAGTAGTATTGTCATCTACACATCGTATCCTTGTTAATGTTATACCATTCACTATTTGTTGAACTTGGAAATGAATGGGAAAAGTATAAGAGTTGATCAGTTTGTGGAATAGAATTTAGTGACCTAATGAATTTTTTGAATATAGACCTATGACGATCATACTAGTTTTCTGTAATATTTCGTAATAACATTTTGATATATTTTCAAACTCAATGGTCTCGTACTCGTCAAAAGACTTAAAAGTTTTGACTATAATCCAGTGTGTACGCTTTAGACTCAATGCTTTATAATCTCATAAGTTGAAATACCTCTTCAATCGTATCTAAATTTTATTTCTTCCGTTGATAATGACAGTCTGTCATGAATTTTTTTCCAAATCTAATGTATAATATTTATGTGTCGTAAAATACAATTAATGGTTTAAATCATTTACCATTTACAGCATATTTATGTATAAATAAATAATTGTGTATTGTGTGAGTGTTCGCACTAAAATACCTCGAATTAATCAACTTAACCACAAAGCAGATAGACCAATATAAAAAATTACCAGAGACATAATATGCCACTAGAATGATTGACAAGTTAACATAATGATAAATTGGGAAAGCCACAGATGTTTATATTTTTATGTGCCTGTGAGATAGAGAGTTATGATGGATGAGGATTATGAGACTAATGTTTAAAAAAATAGATAGTCAAACTTAATAAAATACATAATTAGCTTATTTGTAAACTTTCTAAGACATTAAATAGTTTTTTGTTTGTGTTTCATGACTGCCATAATTGTGATCTGTGCCTTTGTCAAGGTTAAAGATTCATTTCATAAGGATGGCAGAATCACAATTAATTCATGAAAAATAAATAATAGTAGACAAAAGCTATCGTTCAGTATTAAAAAAAACACATCCAAGAAAGACTTCTTTCAGCTAAAAAGCTCATCTGAAGATCATAAAGTCTGTTGTAGAAAACTACAGTAGGATACTCACTGGCTTCTATTCTCAGTTAAGTTGGATAACGTCCCAAGTCACTTGGTTGTATAATCATCAGGACAATAAAATCGGAATCATGATGGCCCTAAATGTACCATTCCTGTGTTCCTGTTTTTTATATCACGAATTTATAGACTAAACTAATCACCTCTTCAGTTTTTTTTATCCAGGCCCAAGTAATAAATGGTGTGGAAACCACTGGAATGTCTAATAAAGCATGATTAGTTCTAAATCATTCAATGAAAACTCTTCATTTCAATAAATGACTAGATTTAATCAAGAATAAATAGTTGATCTTTTCATTATACGAAATAAATGTTAAAATGGTACATGTTGATCACTACCTGTAAGAGTTATATTCAGTCGATATTAATATGCAACTTCTTGTAGGACGAAGAGAGTTCTGCCAGTTTAATCAATCTCACAAATCGGTGATAATAACAAAGACAGCTAAACTGATAGCTTCGTTCACGGGCTGAATATGTATTAAGAAATCAGAACTACTTTTTACCTACGTACAAAATATCCATCTAAAATGTTATGACTAAGAATAATGCACCAATTTGTATAAACGAGTGAAGATGTAGATCACAAAATAAAATTATATTTACTCAATATAATTAATTATAACAGAGACATTAAGTGTTCGTGTGAGAGACAGAAGGTTCGATTCCTGGGTGCAAGATCGCGAACATTCAATGCTTTCACCATTTTAATGGCTGTCTAACTTGGCCTGATTCGTAAATTCAGTGTAATTTAACAAAAATATTACATTTCAGTGAATAGAATAATTATCAAAATCTCTTTTAAGGTACTATATATTTAAAGATAAATTACACTTACTTGTATTGACTTTTTCAAAATTTTCAACTGGATATAATGTTGAACCACTCATTGAAGAATCCATTGATAATGATTGACTTGTTGGTTCGATCGTCTCTACTTTGAATAAATTCGATGACATATTTAATAGATCCCATTTCCATGAATCATTATTCAAATCACTAAAACATATATCCTGACAGTGAGTGAAATTTGACTCTCGATAATAATTTAATGGATTATTATTATTATTATTATTCATCGTTGAAAATAACATTCCATGTGTTGATTACTGATTTCATACATATAATCTGCATAAAAATTAAAAGGAGAAAAAAAAGGAATGAAAATCATTCGTTGCAATAAAGAAACAAAACAACAGACACTGTGTAACATTTATTCATTCAACTTGAATGTTAACTGAACCATTTCAAATTATTGGTCACCTTTACTATAATAATATTAATAGTAGTAATCAAATGTTCATTTCACTACATATAATACTGTTATTTATGAATAAACAAGCGTTCTGTTGTATGTACTGGTGTACTTCTAAAAAAAACCCAATAAATTATGCCTATATTAATGCAAATTAAATTTTCAATGTTCCATAAAGTCCAATTATAGTCTAAAATGTTTATCACATAAGTTTATCTGTATAGACATAGTAAAATTCATCAATATAAATGGCTATATTCATACAAATCTTGGTAAATTTGTATCGACATTTGTTGAAATTTAAAGAAAGGGGGAAATTATATATAAAATTCTTTTGTATTTACGATGATCTCAGTAACTGAACTTTAAATAATTCCAACTTTTCAACATGTAATCAAGTCTAAGCTTGTTTAGGGAAATAATACAAAATAAAAATAAATAAAGTCTGTAATAAAACTATACTAAACTCTTGTTTAATCATATTCAAACCTTGATATCGTTCATGGTAAGAATGTAAATCACTTGATATAACGGGGATCATTTTATATGACGGGGATCTTTAAACGATTAAAATCATTTGATGTTAAATGTAGTTTTAATGTGATACATAAAGGAGTATGTGTGTGTATGTGTATGTGAATCCATATATTCGTAAAAATTCAATGGATAAATAAATCATAACACGTGTTAATATAACTACTACTCATTAGTAACTCAAATATTAATAAGAAATCTACTGATTCCAGCTTATACACTGCGTGCCAAAGTAATGCACTCTTTCAACTTATTGTGATCATGCCTCATCTCCTTCATTTCTATTTTCTATATTCCATAATCCACTGATCTTATTTCTCTATGACCATTTTTTTCATAATCACTAATTAGTTATTATTATAACAGTTAATCATTCGTTAAAGAGGAATAATATATATTTGTAAAATCTCAGCGAAAGAATTTGAAGTAATCCCAACGTTTCGCCTGGCAATCTGGTCCAAGTTTTTTCAAGGAAAATACCAGATTGCCAGGCGAAACGTTGGGATTACTTCAAATTCTTTCGCTGAGATTTTACAAATATATATTATTCCTCTTTAATGAATCACATTAACTCAGCGCCCAAATATTGTGAAACTATTCGTTCAAATTTAGACGAAAGTTCTTATTTAGTTAGTCATATGCTTTTCATATTTACCAAATGAACAATTATTTCTGTTTTGCAAATAATATCTTCATTTCAATACTATTTTTCATTATTATATTTTGTATCACAAAATGATTTTAGCTAGACCACCACTGAAAACTTGAATGACTGTTTTGTCCTTGTATGGGATTTCTCAGTAATGGTTATACGTGACTCCCACCTGGGAGTCAAACAGAGAACCTTTGGTCTTGCACGCAAATACTTAATCCCCAGACCACTGAGATGGCATCCAATAGCACTAATGTCAATCAATACATGATATTTTCCATTACCAGTTACATATTTACATAACTTTCTTTCTATATTTAATGATAACAAACAATTTATTCATTATTTCTTAATATTCGTCAAGGTCACAGTTATCTTTCATCTGTAATCTATTTTCACTTTGATCTGTTGCCTAATTTATTCCAATTATTGAGAATATTTTCAATCACTATTCTATTTGATACGGTATTCTTGTATTTTATTACAAACTTATGTATTCTTGCTAACAACCAATACGATCGTACAACGTGAGTACATGATGCAGTTGAAAATGGAAATATTTTTTCGCTGGATTGTCTTTATTTCTTTTCAAAATGTTGAGTAATTTGATAGGTTGAGAAAATTTGAATATTTAAAGATAATTTTTCTCTAATCGAATGAATTCATCTGAAAAAAGTATTAAGAAACTAAGAATATTAGAAAAATATCGGTTTCAGAGTAGTATAGAATCTCTTGACAAGATGTGGATGTATGTATAGGTCATTGAAACCATCTACGTAATGTATAACAGTCAAAATAATTGACTATTTAAATTCTTTCATAAAATAATAAGGTTTCTGGAAATCATTTTCTACGTAGTATTATAAAAAGAAGAACAAATTATTCCATTATTAAAATTGTAAACTGTTTGTTGATATTTCAGGTTCGAATCCACCAGGTAACATCAGTTCCCTCAAGATCCTAAGTGAGTCATGCTAACGAGTGGCAATCAGCTCAGAACTAAGTTTATGTAAGGTATTGTACCAACTACTTCCCAAAACCTAACATCTGTTAATGAACTTTAATTCAGTCTTTGAATGATGTCATTTTTCCCGTGACCTTAAAGGTGCTAGTTTAAAATCTGTTTAAAGTAACAGGTGGATACTTGTAAAGTTTCTTTAAACTAGAAGAAAATATTAAGTTAATGCTACCATTATATGCAATAGTCAAGTAACTAACGTGATATTTCAAAATAAATGAAAATTTCAGGGTAGACAAAAAAGATATCTTAATAATGAAATTAATTAACCTATGACATTAATGTTCATTGCTTAAGAATTAATTCACTGGAGTAACTGTCTAAATGAAAAACGGTTATCTCCCCCCCAAACCCTCATCCACTGCTACCACCAACATTATTGGAAAAGAAGAAGAAGAAGAAACATGTAACAAAATGGAAATAATGTAATTCGATTATTCATTCATAATGTTTCTGTTTCGTTTCTGTTCACCTTTTTTTATAGTAGTTGTTGTTATGATCAGTTTCCCTCAGTGTACTTAATGGAACATTAACATTTAGAATTAGGTTTCAACCTAATATCATTCAAATAAGACAATAACAAAAATAATTTGTATTGTTACTATTAATGTCAATATTGTTATTGTTATTATTATTATGGCTCTATCCAATATTATATGGTAACTGAGTGGTAATAATAACGGCAATATTGACCTCGACGTTGTCCATATGAAAGTAAATTATTATTATTATTATTCATTAACCTTTGATCTTACATTGGCTATATATCAGTGACACCTGCATATCCATGATTGATTATTATTATTTTTTTATTAGCATGATGGAGTTTGTGAATATTGTGGAATTTTCTTAGTTCTAAATAGCAAACTGATCTTGAATGGACCAACGTTGAAACAAAAAAGCACTAGACAAATGTTTTTTTTACCCCGGCATCGGACTTCCCAACATTGAGCATCAACGATTCCACTAGCAATCGAGCCCAGGAACTTCGGTCTCACATCCAAACTCTCAATGCCTTGACCACTGAGTCGAAATCCAGTGATATATATGTCTAACTTTAACCTATTCATGAAGGTCCTGTGCCCAATCATTGGTGGGGTGCGTACTACTGAAAAGTTCCATACTAGGAGGGAATGGCTGTCCAGTGTTCCAGGTCATCACTGAATGTCTAGCTAAAATCAGTTCATGATTTAAACTTTGAAAACTTTACAATCTCAATAAACCCCTTCATATTAATCTTATTTGATTATTATGATTAAACATTGATCATGGGGTTGTTTTTGTCTACTTCAAATAATTCTTTTTCAATATTGAGGTTGTGTAAAGTTTTGTCGGATTTTTTTAAGATTTATACCACAAAGTGATTAAAATTACAAATATAAACAATTGGATGTCAACTCAGTGACCCCTAAATGCTAAGCGTTTGCTATGAGACCTAAAAGTTATAGGTTTGATCTATTATGAGGTTTAAATGAAGAATACTTAGAAGCCTTATACTAGGACGAAACGACTCCACAATAGTTCTTGGTTTTCAGCGATTGTCTAGCTAAAACCAATCGATAGTGCAGAGCAATAAAGTTTTTATGTTTATGTTGAGAGAAGGCCTATATATACGCACACACAAAGTAAGATAAGTTAGTAATGACTCTAGTTTCTTTCGCATTATTGTACCGTTAAATTATTATATTAGACGAAGTAGTTTTAAAGATGAAGATTTCCTGTATACTTTAAGGATCATTTCGTCTAGTTTAAGAGTCATTGAAAATCAGTAACAGACGATTTTTCTTTATTTTTATACTTATATAACACTTTCGAAACTTCAAAAAGATTGAAACGGGAACTGAAAGCGTAACTTTCATTTCATATAGTAAACAGAAAACCAACAATACTTCTGCATGATTAGCTTCAAATTTAAAATTGTACACATTATAAACGCCAATCAATTTTTGATCTAATAGAAATTATCTTTAATGATTTAAATTTGAATTCACGAGTCGATCTAAGCTAGACCACCATTGAAAATTTGGAATCACTGGACGGTTGTTTCGTCCTAGCATGGGACAAACCAGCTTCCAGCTGAAGAGGAAATTATAAAAAGACGTTGGAAGTGGACAGGATATACATTACGGAAATCGCAAAACTGCATCATGAGGCAAGCCCTAACCTTGAATCCTGAAGCGAAACGGAAAAGAGAAAGGCCAAAGAACACACTGAGCCAAGAATTGGAAGCAGACATGAAAAGGATGAGTGGCAAGTGAAAACAACTGGAAATAATTGCCCAGGACAGGGTAGGATGGAGAGTGCTGTTTGGTGACCTATGCTCCTCCACGAGGGGTAACAGGTGTAGGTAAGTAAGTAGGTTTCAAGTTGAAAGCCTTACTTCATTTAGGTCAGTTCCAATAACTAGACCTTATTGTTGGACCTCATGTTATTTATACCTTCAACTACATTATATAAATCTGTACTTAATAAGTGAGTTAGAACTTTTCACTTCAAACAGAAATAATGACTATTGAATTTTAGAATTAATCTACAATCTGATTGTCTATACCAATAATTATAGTTGAATAATTGTATTCCAAACTGATCTATCACGTTTTCATAATGAAATATATTTACACGTGTATGAAAATTTTCATTGTGATTGTTTTTAGAGTTGTTAGATACAT